AGTTTATTCAGGCACATCTATCAACTCCACCAAAGAAAAGGTGGTGGTTGCCACATTGTGGAGAAGTACTAGGCTAAAAAGGCTATGGGGAATGTGGCAAATTACCTGAAGCTAGACACGCACAATGCTACATGTGCTTTACATGTAAACTGCCATTTGCAATACAGAAAGTGTGCATGCAGAAGTGCAAACCTTATAATACAATCAACTGATGAATATTATTGCCTACAAGTAATATAATTTGTACTTATTATTATATATATATATATTTGAAGTTATATATGTATTGTTTATTATTATTTCTTTCAACTATTTCCAGTTACTAGGTCTTTGTACAACTGAAGATTGTTTCTCTTATTTTTACTTTTACTAAAGTTAGATTTATCAACTTTGCATTTTCTCCTCTTGTTCATTTTTTATCAATTGATAGTTTATGTGTTAGCACTGTCAAAAAGACTGTATAAATTATTTTATTGTACATAAAACAATGATTTCATAATCTCCAAGTATTTTTGGCTTAAATCCCATTTTCATTTTGTCTTTCTGCTATCTTTTTCTAAAATTAACAAACTTTTTGATATTTGTGTTTGTTTATATACAATTTCAGAATTTGTCTTGCTTTCTGATGTATTTGTTTACCTAACATTTAAAAAAAAACAAAAAAAAAACCTTAATTTTTGTATAATGCTTAAATATTTACATTCTATATGATCCAAAGGTTGTCATTGCCAAGTGTGATAGTGTAGACTAGCTCCCACTGTCTATAAAATGCTTCCATGCAAGGGTCTCAAATAATCTTTGACAACTAAGTCCAGTCTAAGCTGGAGAATGGGCAAAGGTGGAAAACTGGTACCTCATAACCACCTGCTCCAGGTAGATAGAGTTCGATAGCCCAGGAAGGCAGTCCATCTACGGGAAGGAAAACTTTGATTTTAAACCTCCACTGTCTTGTGGTTATATTCAGATATGGAAAAAACTATGGAAGTAAATCCAGACAGAAAACCTAGAGTGAAGTCCCAAAGATGGTTGGCTGTCAACATTGAGAACTTTTCTCCTGCAGCTAAGTCATCCCCAAATGAATTTTTTTTTTTTACATTCAGATGGGCTAACATTTTTACACAAAAATCAACTGTGAGAAAAATAATTAGGAGCACATTTATTGCTTGATAAAAAGATAATGTCTGTGACAAAAGAGCCATTATTGGTCATGTCATCAAAAAAAAGATAATGTCTGTGACAAAAGAGCCATTATTGGTCATGTCATCAAAAAAAAGATAATGTCTGTGACAAAAGAGCCATTATTGGTCATGTCATCAAAAAAAAAGATAATGTCTGTGACAAAAGAGCCATTATTGGTCATGTCATCAAAAAAAGATAATGTCTGTGACAAAAAGAGCCATTATTGGTCATGTCATCAAAAAAAAAAGATAATGTCTGTGACAAAAGAGCCATTATTGGTCATGTCATCAAAAAAAAGATAATGTCTGTGACAAAAGAGCCATTATTGGTCATGTCATCAAAAAAAAGATAATGTCTGTGACAAAAGAGCCATTATTGGTCATGTCATCAAAAAAAAGATAATGTCTGTGACAAAAGAGCCATTATTGGTTTTGGTCATCAAAACATTCCAGTTATCATTCGTTTTATGCAAGTTTCTGCAGTTTTTGGGTTTTTTTTTTTTTTTAAATAATATGTGGGTTACTGTTCACAGTACATGTGTACAGTCAGGGTCCCTTTTGGTATGCCATTAACATCAAATCTTTTTATCCTGTCATCACACACACACACATGCCCATTTTAGAAATAGGTAACTACTACTATACTTTTGTTTCAGGGTTTTTTGCTTTTTACTCAAAACATTTTTGTTTTAAAAAAATGGAACTCACTCCATAATGTACAAAACCATTTCAGAAGGGATTTTTTTAAATAAAAGTGAGAGGAAGTGAAAGAAACATGAAAAACAAACAAAAGAGGAAAAAAAAAATTTGATGTAGGAGTTATTGAGTTATTCTGAAAGTGATTCATGTAAGTAAAAGAAAAGTTCTACTTAAAAGAGAAAAAATTTTGAAAGAAGTATGTCACTGAATTCTTTCATGCTTAAAAAGTGCATTCATCAATGCTTGCTGACATTTACAAAGACCAAATAGTGAATATGAGCAAAGTTGGGCTTTGCATAATGAATTTTGGAAGTGACAACACTGATATTTGTCTTCAAATAAAACATGTATTTTTACAGCAACCAATATTACTTAAAAAATATAAAGTAAAAATTAATTTAATGTTCCTGATCTTTTTTATACACCTAGTGTAAAGTACAAACTTTATTTATTATCAATTTTTATTTAATAACCATAATTGGGTTATTATTGAATTAAAGGCATGGGAACTACTTAAATAGACTGGTCCACTTATAAAAAATAGGGAAAAATTTGGAGGGAAATAATTTTTGCAGAAAAACATTCTTTAAACCTTCCTTAGGTCACAACACGTCAGAATAGAAAAATGTTGATTTGTTACCAATTTAGAAGTAGGATCTTGTTTATAAAATCAATAGAGTTAACATTCCAGATTTTGAAGAGTTGTTGGTCTTTGGCTCAGTCACTTGGCTGTTATTACAAGTGTCAAGTTTGAAAATAACATCATTGACATCTACATATTTTCTTTTTAAACATTTTTCTTTTAACTTTTTCAATAACTTTTTTTAAAAAAACATTTCTGTATATTTTTTTGGAAGCACATGCACAAACATTTGAGGTTCATAATTATTTATCTAAAATGAACAATACGGATACATAATTTTATTAATTTATGTAAATTTTTTTCATTAATTAAAAATGAATATATCCGTTTGTTCATTATCTATCTATAATACTAGAAGTCTGTGAGTGCATGCATGCTCGTGTGGTGCGTCTGTCCATAACATAATGATTTACAAGTTGTTTATACATTTTTATTTTAACTTTCTTCAAACAGACAAAATATTTTTAAGTTAAAGACAGACACAAAGAGATCCCACTTTGCTGTTTTGTCCAATTGTTTGTAGAGTAATTATTTATATTTCAAGTTTCTTTAAGCAAACCATATTTGAAATATTTAAAAAAATATATATTGGCATATTAAAAATATATTTAAGTTAATCTAATTTAAAGTTCTCCTACTGTAAACAATCAGTAAAAAACGTTAACTTACTTGCAAACGAAACCAGACCAATGATGACACGAACGAACTGAAGTATTGACTGAATCATAAAATTAACTTTCATTTCAATGTAATGTTGAAATCAACTTCAATGAGCCGTCAATGACCCAACAAGTAGTCTCTAGTTTAAAAATAAATCTTTTTGCCAGTTTTCGTACGCAAGACCCAATAACACTGTGACACTAAAAGTCAGGTCAAATTGACACTGTATTGATTTTAAACAGGAAAACGATAAGGAATCAATATTTCTCGATTCTGACAAGTGTCTCGCGTGAGGGGAAGTCTAAAGAATGTTCAATTTTTTTCATTTACTAAAATTATTTTCCCCGCAAAAATTTCCTTTTTTTAAAAAAAAAAAAAATGAGTGGACCAGCATGGACATTGGATTTCTTAATAATATGGAAACACACACACGTGCCCATAGGTTAAACAAACAGTCGTTTTAAGAAATAAAATGATTTTTTCTACAGTTTGACACGTCAGTAATAAGTTAAAAATGATAAGAGAAAAGAATGAAGACTAAAAAAAAATTATGTTTAGTTTAAACAATGTAAAATAAAAGACTATCAATGTTTTAAAAGGTGGGCTCCTGTACTGTGTAAGAATGATGAAGTTGCCCCTCTTTTTTGTAGATTAATAATTATCAATTAATTACAATTACTTCACTCACCCAACAATTTTCCTTATTTTTGAAAATCAAAAGACTTTTTTTAATTAGAACTAAAATAAGAAAAAGTGGAATTAAAGAAAATGTCAGGAAGCAAGTTAAAGAAGCGTCGAAGTTAATTTTCTCTTTATTACAAACTAAAATATAGACATAAATCCTTTCGAGGTCATAAAGATCATTCATTAAATTCTCCGGGAAGAACATTTTCACACTGTCTCTTCACAGTAACTTTTTTGAAGGAATATTTAAAAGATTTAGTATATTGAATAATAAATCAAAGTAAATATTCACAAAAAATATTATTATTATCGAAAACATTTTGTTTTACTTTAGTCCAGGTATGTTTTTAAAAAATTACGCATTCTGATTGTCCTTGGGTTGTTATTTTTTGTGTGTGTGTGTGTGTGTCTGTGTGATTTTAAAGATCTAGATAAATAATAATTATAAAGATAAAGAAAAAAAGATTGCATATTTTAGGGGCGCCTTAGCAGAAACCAGCGTCATGTTTCATTTGAATTAGGAAAGGAAACTTTTCAAGGTTAAACGTGAAAAAATACCCTCTTGCTTGCTTGACTCTCAAATGAGGGAAATGTTGTGCACATGGCATTTTGCATTTCCTTTCCGCCCCCCTGCAAATTTAGCAGCAAAACTCTGGATATGAAGATGATCATCAATACTAAGTGAAGGAGTCGATTATTAAACAAAGCTTAAGATACAGTAAGTCAGACTCCCTCCCCCCAAAAAGGACAAAACTTTTTTAAATAATTAAAAATTATACTTTTCAAAAATTTGTATTCAGATTCTTTTAAGGTAATATAAATTTAAAAAGTTAAACATCTTTATTTATTGTTATTATTCTTATCTTACATAATATAAAATTTACATTTAATTCTAAAAAATTAGTAATTTTCTTTATTCTGTATGATGCCGATATTTTTTAATTCGTTGTTGAATCCAATCGTTCGTTACGATTTTTATTTTTCCGAATAATCAAGATAATTTTCGATGGATGCAAAGTGATCGCTTATAGATATCAATCAATATATACGAAGTGAACATTATAATATAGAAATAACTTGAACACTATGAAAACGATCAAAAAAAAAAATCGAGGGAGAGTCCTCACTTTACTTACCATGCCGAGATATACTTTCCTTGGATACAACAACTTTCCTAAGTACGCTAAACCGTCTAATGGCACCGGGAAAATTAATGGTGCATACAGAGGGTCGGTGAAATTTCTGTAGTAACTGACAGAATGGCTTTGATGTTGAATTAAATTGCACAAAACACCACCGACATACTCCCCTGAATGACGCCATTTTGCCACTGATGTCACTTGAGTAGTAGTGAGAGAACGAGATATAAGAGTCGTTATGTGATTGATTTATCGTAAGTACGGATGCTCAAAAGATGATCTGTATCGTGCCTGTTTTACAAGTTTACAATCCTCATCAAATGAGGGTATAATAATCATTATTAAAAACGAAACTGTAGATTAGAATTTATGCGGAAGGAAGGCTAATTTGATCATAATTTGTTGCAGGTCATCAAGTTCTCTATCAAATTAAAACATAAGCAGGTAGTAACTAAATAAATTAAATAGTATTTCTTTTCCATGTTTCATTCATTTTTTTTCCTGTGATAAGTTTTATTTATTTTTTGCATTTGATTTACCAGTAAGGTATTTTTTCTTTTTGTTTTTTTTTTTTTAGTTCAATAATATTTTCCATATTGGCATTTCAACAAATTCAACTTTTTGTGCTGAAAGTTTGCAGTGTTTTTGTTATTTAAATTTATTTATTGAACAATAAAAATACATACGATTTTGAAAATTCGTTTGAAATTTATTGACCATTGCATAAAAAAGTGAAACTTATTTCAAAAATAAAAACAACTAATTCATAAATTAGTTGTTTTTAGATTTTTGAAATAAGTTTCACTAATTTTGTGAGCTAATTTTGTTTTCTATCTAATTATTTTCCCTTTGCTGGACTTTAGGTGGTTGATTTAAAATAAATTTACTTCCATTTTAAAATAAATACTTTTTAAAATATCGTGATAAGTACCTCGCCAAGGAAGCAAACAATTATTATTACCAACAACTGCCAAGGCATTGGGCAGCTAAGACTTATCAATGAAGAGAAACATTCCCACAAAACCTAAACAAACAGAAGCACTACAATAACACAAATTTAATGAAGCTGAAGGAAGAAATGTGTCCTCAATAGCTGTTGAATATAGTTTTCGTTTCGAAGTTTGTAAACTTTTAACTCATTATGCCATTTAGGAGCTTCCATACTTTAAACAAAATCTTATGCATAGCGTACAACCGAAAAAATACTATTGCGCACTTATAAGTTTACAGATCAAGCGATTTCATCGATTGAAAAACTGAGTAAGAGGAATAGGGAATGAGTGAGAATTTCAAAGTGTTTTATCCACTTTACGAACTTTAATGGCGAAAAAAATTTCTCTAAAAGTTTTTGATCGAGTTTTCACGTGTAGTATAGTATTAAGGAATACAAATGTTAAGGGGAGATTACTCTAATCGCCTCCATCCTCCCCTTCACTTCACCTTCAATGCTCCGTTTATTATTTTCACTAACGGTTATGTAACACTTTATTAACGTCATTGTAAATAAATATATATTTATTACGTTGAGTCTTTTCAAAAATATTTCAGATGCCTATAAAATTGAAACAATAAAAATCATTCATTTTATATCATATCTCTGCTCTTGAAAATAAATTAAAAGCATTTCAACACTTTTTTAAGGGACATAAAACATACGTTAGAAATGTTATACTCCATTGCAATTAGATACCTTCTTGATTCATTCTGCATGCTGACCAGATGTGAAGGCAGAGAACGAAATAAAAAAAAAGTCATTTTCTGCAAATAGTCACCATGCATCACATTTGGTCTATAAAACAAGTTCTGGCAATGGCCACCTGGGGACTACCAGACCTGCTTAAAAACAGGTTTCTGGGGATGATCAAGTAAGCCACCAGCCATCACACAGGGCATTGCTACTGCTATCACCACTGCCATGGCCTTGCCACAATGATAACTACAGCTGTGACCCAGTGGGTCACCAACTGGCACACAAGGTCCTGCTGTTGCTTTCACCACTGCTACCACCGCTGTCACTATCTCAATGGGATCACTCCTCACACTGACTGTTGCTGCTCCCAGACTTGACTGGCCACTTCAGCTGTCCAGGTTCAGCATGTCAATACCTCATCTCTCGACTCTCAAATATTCTTACTGTATCAGCAAAATCAGATTCATGACTTCTGACTCTTAACTCTTGCACCCTCTAATCAGCAAAATCAGATTCATGACTTCTCCTGACTACTCACCCTCGCACTCTTGTATCACCATAGTCAGATTTGTAGCTTTGTTAACCACTCTGAGACGACACCTCGGCAACCCACTGCCATCATCTCAGCATAATCAGCATCAGCAAAGTCAGATTCATGACTTCTGACTCTTAACTCTTGCACCCTCTAATCAGCAAAGTCAGATTCATGACTTCTGACTCTTAACTCTTGCACCCTCTAATCAGCAAAGTCAGATTCATGACTTCTCCCGACTACTCCTGCTCACACACCCATATCATCATAGATTCGTAGTTTTACTAACCACTCCAGGACAACACCTCGGTAATTCACCACTGTCACCTCAGTGTAACCAATATGTACAAGGCATTCCCTCACAGCCATCACCCCAGAAGAGACCTACCAACTCTGCAACCAACCTGCTACCACAAGCAGTGACTCCGACTCCACAAGCAGTGACTCCAACTCCACAACCAAGCGACTCCAACTCTGCAATCATTCAGTCTACTCAACCCACCACTGTGATGCCAATCCACCAACACATGCAAGGCTGTTCCATAGAACAGGCCTACCAACCTAACCACATCGCCAACCCAACATGGTCACTTCAGCATAACCAATACATACACTGACAATATCCTGTGACCTCAGCCAGCACAAAAATAGGTCAACTCCTGGCTTTTCTCTTAACCCTGATCACCAACCGGATAACACACTAGAAACAGACATTTTGCTATATCTGTACAACACCATATGTATATACTAACAATAAACGTTGTTCAAATTCTAATCCTTATTATTCCTTTCTCGCATAACCAAATGCTTAATATAACAGAAAGTTTTATTAAATGAACAACTTTCCAGGTGTAATAAGCATGAAACATCTAAAATGTTCAGTTCATTGTTAAAATGTAGTTTTGAAACTTGACCAAAGAATTGTCAAAGAGCAGGTTCTGAATTGAATAAACTGTTGTAGACTATCAGAACTCCCATTCTTCAATGAATGCTTCAGTAGCGACCATTTAAATGACACAAACTGGTTTAATTTTAGACTACATCAATACACATATTCTTGCAAGAAAAAAGAAAAATTAAAAAGTTATGCTAAGTAATTTCCAATAGCATGCAGCCACAAATGACATCACGAAGTTCAAACCAATAACTACTACAATGCAAAGAAAATATTTAGCAGTTTTAATTTTAATATATACTAAAGTATATATACTATATATTACTATATAAAATATATTGCAGAACAGGTATATTGACCTTGACTTGTATAAAAATACATATGCTGTTGGCACACTGAATGATTTTAAAACCCTAATTTGATACATAGTTAGCAAAAGGTTGCCAACCCCTGAACTAATAGTTCATTTCTGAGTCACTCCAACACTATATAAATTATCAACAATTTGACTTCACATTGGGGTTATTTTATAATGGCTTCCCTAGCTCAAGGAGTGCTCAAACAAGAATAAATACAAGATACTAAAAGGGTAAAATTAAAAGAAGAGTTCCAAAATACTTTTTACCATTTACTATTACATGCAAAAATGTAAAATATGACATAGATATAAACATGGTACTAACAAGAGACAAGGTTTACACTTGGTAAGTTTACTACCTTTGATCTACGGTAAGGTGAGATTGTCAACTATCAGAGTATGTATCTTTGTTCCCTATGGTATAAGTCAAGACACCAATCACAACACATGTACAACCACTTCTCAGAGCCAGACTGACTCTAAACATGTCAAGGACCCCAATTCATCTCAATTGTCCTTACCATTTCAAGAGAATTAACTCATCTCACCTTATTGAGTTCTATCTAAAACCCTACAACTCATCTTACCAACTTACCATGATTATTTATCTGTCCTTTTAAACCACCTTAGCATTGGATTTTAGGATGATAAAGATTTTAAACATACAACAGTCAAAATAAGAGAGTAGTTAAAGGCAAAGAAAATAAAGATTTTAGTCTTTTGCCTCACTTAAATTTCAAAGAAAATTTATAAAAGCTTAATATTAGAGCTCATCAGAAGAATGCCCATAATCTGAGGAATCTTAATGTAATTTGTCAACAGGAATGGAATCAAATTGGAGCTAATTTCTGTGAGAAACTTATTTCTAATTATTCTTTATGTCTGACTACAATAAGGGCCACACTATTAAATATTGAAAGCAGTTTATGGATATGGGTCCAAAACTTATGTTTTTTATCTTTTTGTTAAATTTCCCAATAAATTTCGGCATAGACATGCAATTACTCATACCTAGATATAAAATACTCTAAGTATTTATTATGATTTTCTAAGCGTAGATTAGATGTGGTACTGCAGAGTAAGGGGAAGTTAACTGTTTCAAATCAAAAGATCAAATGACAAAAATAAACATACCATACAAAGGCTCCATGCAGCCTCCCAGTTTTAAACCTATTTCAAATTTTCAAATTAATAAAAATAAAGAATAGCCAATAAAATCAGCTCCCACCAATAAATAAACATAGACTTATGGAGACTACACAAAGCTATATAAACTCAGCAGAAAGATTTACAGCAGTAAAGGGACACAAGTCAACCTTGTCATCCTGTCTTTCCCACCAAAGCAACAAGCAGACTCCTTTTGATCTTGTCTCCTGACCTCACTTTCTCTCTACCTCACTGAAAAACTATTTAAGTTCATTTCCTTTTCAGTCAGAGAGAAGAACATTTTAAATACAAACTTTTATTTTATGATAGTAATTACAGTTAAAAAAAGTGTATATACCATCATTTTATTTGAAAACACAGCAACACTTTCTCTCATTTTTTATTCAACAAATGGTGACTCATGGAATCTTTCCCCAACAGCACAAGACTGGAAGTAGAGGGCACCCAGTGAGGATTGAACTCACTATTCAGTCATAAGTGTT